AGAGCTCATTTTGCCCACTAGCATCATGCTAATGCGTGCCGACTGGTCGGTTTAGGACAGGACATCCTCCCTCGATGGTGCCCGTCTCAGGAAGTGCAGTTCTCCGTTATTTCTCTGGACATTTGTGTCCATCACAAGAACATCGTCTGTGTTCTCTGAGAACATTTCCGGACCCTTTATAGGCGTCTTTGTTTAGGAGCTCACGGACTCCAGCGTAGAAAGTGTCTGAGAAACACAGCAGACTTCGGCTGGTTTACATCATTATCGATCAATCAGTGACCTGTTATTGTTCTGTAAACGTGGAGTTTCCTGACGTCTGAATAAAGACGGAGCTTCTGGAATCACGAGGTCGAGTCGAAGGCTTAAAACCAGTCCTGATATCAGAGCTCGTTTTATTTTACATAAATCTTTCAGTACTTTCACAAACAAAGCCAACAGTAACGGAACAGAAGATATAAAAATATAGTTCTCTCTCTCTTTTTGGGAAGGAGCAGCCAATCAGGTCACCTGATCATACAGGAAGTTCAGCCCTCGCTTCGTCGTGTCTGAACCTGTGACGAGGTATCAGCAGTGGAAGATCTGCTCCAGGTAATAGTCTGTGTCCTGCAGAGGGAAACCTCTGAGGTCAGGGATCCTCGGGTATCATACACTTCCTGTTTCGGACCTGAACCACTTCCTTCCTCTCCTTCAGGAAGTTTCCGAAGGCTTCGGTCTCCTTGCTCTCCTCCGTCACTGAAAAATCAAACATCAGACGTCCGAATGTTTATGAAATAATTTCAGGCTTCTAAGAAAATCAGGAAGTTAATCCACGCCAACTCTTTCCTCACCGGCGTGGTCGATGTCGTCCGTGTCGCTGTCCACCGCCTCCTCGTCAGGATTACCGCGTGTCATAATGAGGTCACTGGGCCCGGCGATGTCGGCTTCATCTGCTGGCAGGAAGTCAATCGGTCAGTTAGAACTACAAGAACGTAGCATAATAACAGATTAGCTTCACGGCGCCGGCTCTACCTGTGGACGGCGTGTTCCTCATGTCGACGGCTCCCAGGTCCTTCCGCAGCCGCTCGAGCTGCTCCTGCTGCTTTTTGCTCTGAGCGTCGGTCTGCAGGACAGGAAGTCGGTTTAGACGGGACAACGTGAGGGCGGAGCAACAGGGAGAAACAAAACAAAGCACTCACCAGCTGTTTGCGGAGTCGTTCGTACTCGGGTCGGTAGTCCCTGAGGAAGCAGGAGGAAGACTTCAGTTCGTCACAACAATTTGTTTCCTCCATGAAAAAAAAAAAGAACCCAACGCTCAGCGTCGAGCTCCACGACTCAAAAGTCTAGTTTTTATTTTTGAATAAAATAACTGTTACTGTTGCTAACCACTGCAGCAAACAGAGTCCTGTGGTCAGTAATTCAAAGTCAGTATTTATGGTTTCGTGATGCACGCTCAGTCATCCAGGTCAGGAAATCACTGATTAACCCTTTAAACCAGCGGTCTCCAACCTTTTTTGC